GCGGGGGTGGCGGGAACTGCCGGCTGTGCTCTGACGCCCAGATTAGGGCTGAGGAAATGCAGACCAGATATGACTAACGACGGCGTGACGCATGTCAGAAGCTATACATTGACCCAGCTTCCAGGCACTGAATGCTTGGCGTAGCTGAGACATGAAGCTGTGGCTGTGTTTGAGTGTGTGCAGCTGAAAATGTATATATTTTGTTCGTGTTAGCGAAACTGCTTTTATGTGCAGGCTAAAAATTCGTGCACTGTCAGCTCACTCGGAGAGGAGAAGCAATTGCCATTTCAAGAGTTGCCTTCCCTGAACATTTGTAGAGAGATCGTTCAAGTCAGCAATAAACTTAATCTGACTACTCGTGGTTGAGCTGGTCTGTTGTTTGTTTCTGCTTTTTAATATGTATCTTATTTCCTGTCTGCTTTGGGATTTCCCCCCCCCCCCCCCCCCCCAACTGCATGGAGAGCATAGCATGGAACTCTGGCTCCAAATGCATCGTCTTGCTTATACTTGCTTATGTCCTTCAGGGTACTGAGTCTACCCCGCAGCTTATATTTTGAATGAGCGATACAGGAAAATAGCAGCTGGTTTGTTGTCACTGATAAGGCTATTATAATGTTTTTTTAATCAATGAAATTATCTTTCAAGAGCAAATATTTTGATTAATACCAATTTTATATTTCTAACGTTATGCCTTATAAAGGCAATGATTAAGGATGTATGACTTCAAAACAATGACAGGTAGTAACTCAAGCTTTAAAATGAGTTACTAGCATGCGATGAGGATTGTAGCAAAGGTAGTAATTTATTATCACATGATGTTTGCAAGATTTTGAGCTCATAGCCATCACTTCCTGTCTCAAACAAGCACAGCAAGCCTCGGTTGATCTAACTTCTCCCTGTTTACTGAATTTTGTTCTCCTGGATGTCATATAAGCACAAAGTGTTTTGGGATTCTTCAGTATGAAAAGTACTTGCTTACTATCAGAATAGTTCCTTGTGATTTAAAAAGGGTCTCTTAAGCAGTATTTGGACATATTTTGATTACTGTGTTTATAGCGGTATGTGCTATTTATCACTCCAAAAGCAATAGGAGGCAAGGCAGTACAGAGCCTTTTCTTCACAGTTTGTTTTTGTAGAAGGAAGAGCTGTGTTTGTGAATTGCCCTGCGCAACTGGACAGTTGCATCACCTTACAGAATTCTGTTTCCATATTTCTTTGTTGGGCTTTTTAAAGCAGAGGTTGCTAAATACTGCTGTTGTGGGCTTTCTCTGTGTTGCAAAGCTAGTGCCAGAACTCACGCTACTATCAGGATGCGTTGGGTTCAGCCTGATAAATTGTGGGCACTGCTTACAAATACATCGCCGTTGGGCTGCTCTGAATACAGCTGGTGTGAGCTGGGTCCTTCCTTCACTCAGCTTTCACAGAAAATTACAGCTCAGCTTCGGCTGTGTGCGGAATAGCCTTGCCAAACACTTAGATCCTCAGTATGTATAACCTGTTGTGCACAAATTCTTGTAGCCAGACAGATTTTTTTTTTTTTTTTTTAAGACTAAACTTTACATCTTGCTTTTAATCACTTTTAAGGTGACCTAGCTGCATCTGTTCACAGAAAGTGAAATCCGGGTTTTGTCGTACATGTAAATTACTGCTTAGTTTTGTATGTATCAGTCTGCACTGTGGTATTATCAACATAAGTATTTTCTTGGATGTTGCTTTATTTTTACTGAGCAATTAAGAAGATATAAGAGAATGCACAGACATCAGGATGACCATGAGAACAGTAATTTGTACTGATTTTTGTACATGTAAGAAGCTCTAGTAATAGTATTGTTAATGTTTCCATGTTTTTATAAGACACAAATGGTATGTATTTTCTTCAAACAGAACTAAAAATGTCTTTTATTCGTAGGTGTAAATAAAATACAACTCTTGATCTTCTGTTTCATTTAAAATAAACTGAGAATCTAAGTCACTCTATGAACTTAGCTTTATTTTACTCTGCTAGAGTATAAACTGTAAGCAAAGTTCATAGTTTTAACTTTTTGATTCTCATAATGTATTATGTTTTTGCCATGTTTCTCTTCCAACTAGGGTACAGTTCGCCACCCAATATGTAGAAGTGAAAGTCTTTACTTTTAAAGGTACTACCTGGTTCTGAAGAGGGAAAATTCGGTGGTACAATATAAGCTGATACAAGGCGCGTTGAGATTACTTAGTTGTTATTTACCAATGAAAATCAACCTCTTCCCGCCCCCCCTCCTTTTTTCCCCCTGCACAGAGACAGTGAAGAAGGCAGAGCTACGTTTTGGCTTCTTTGTTAGGTCTATTGTGCACATTGTTCCAGGGACTAGCACCAAATTGGGGGGGGTGGGGGGTGGGCGCGTCTTTTAAGCTTTAAGTGGGACTTAAATTCTTTTTATGCTTTGGGCTGGCATTCTGCATGTGGATTAAATTTTAACTTTAAAGCTTACAGTTGAAACTATTGTGCGTAGCTTGTACATGATTGCCAAATACTTTTTGCCATCTGTTAGATCACCTCCAGTTCCTCCAATAACAAAGCAAACACACAGGCTTTCAGATGCATTTTGTATATGTCACGTTTAAATTTTATCCATATTTTATGCAACTGTGCTTCAAATAAAAAGTAACTCCCACAGTATTTCCCATTCTTCTCTAATTCACATTGCCCAGATATTTTGCTTACGTTTTCAAACAAAAGTCTGCTCCAGACAGAGTCAGCAAGGAGCTATTTGTAATATAATAAATTCGATAATAGTGGTTCATAATGGAAAGTTTCTTGACATCCCGAGTCAAGGCATTTCACGTTTCTGTGACAGCTACCTTATTTTAGCTGGAATATGATGTTCTGTTGGTTAATGTTTTGTTCTAGTAATTCAGATTTCCATCTTAAATTATTGTAGGTAATGTACATTTACATATCGTGCTAATGGCTAGTTTGATAATTACTTAATTAAGCCATCAGACAACAATGCGTTCTGAATGAAGCAAATTATTTAGCTGATCTTTTCATGAGCAACTGGAGAAAAACAATATTTTAACTTTTTCTGTAATGAAATATTTCTACTATTGAGCATTGTAATTCAATTTGTAAGCCATGACCCCTCATAAACTGTTGTTATCACTCTGATTAATAAAGAGCCAATTTGCTGTTGCAGCTTCGTCACTTGGGAAATGATGAGGTTCACATCGTCTGGTCTGAACACACCAGGAACTACCGCAGAGGCATTATACCAACAGATTTTGGAGATGTTTTAATTGTTATTTATCCAATGAAGAATCACATGTTTTTCATAGAGATAATGAAGAAACCAGAGGTATGTTTTGACTACTTTATGGGATCTATCATATGTGTTATGCAAGTGACCGACAGTTCTGTTGCTTAAATAAAGCTCAGTGGTTTAGAGTTTGGGGTTTTTTTCCAGCAAATATGAAATATAGTCTGTCCATCTCAGTTTAAAAGTATGCTGAGCAATGAGCTTTTATTTTAAAACTAGAATTATTAATAGCGATTGAAATGGCTACTAAATCATTTCATATTCATGCTTAGCGCTTAAAGAAATATTTCAGAATTCTCAACCCATAGGAGTTAATGTACAAAGAACAGTGTTTAAAATCATTGTGAATTTCCAATGTGAGGCAATAAAAGCAAAATAATAAAGATTTAAGTTCCTCATTTGCTATTAATTCACCCCATAAGGCTTGGTCACTGTTGTACATATGGTAGTGTGCATAACCTCACATGTTTTTGAGACCGTCATCATAGTCTGACTCGATGGGATGATGTAGGCATTGGATATCTTTATATCAAACAAAGTATTTGAGGTTTAGTGTTTGCTGTTTAAATCATTGTTATGCAACCACATTTTAGACATTTTTGGAAATAATGGATTTTTTTATTTGCAAAATGTCAGGTGTGTGTGTATGTACATCTGTGCATATGTATAAAAAGCTACTTTAATAAATGCTTGTCTGGTACATTATGGATGCAAAAATGTATATAAAATATACTTTATGAAAGTAATCGGTGTGATAAATACCATTTCCCTTATGAGGGACAATATTTGTCCAAAAGAATAAGCAGCTGTGGAAAAATGCATACAGCAGATGACATATTTACCAGCTGTATACAACATTTTTTGAGTTGTGAATGACGGAGCTATTATATATTAACAACCAGAGGTTCGCCAGTAGACATTTCAAACTTGAAAATTTTTTGTAAGTTGAAATAGTGGGGGGGTTTCCTACACTTGATTTTGAGCTCTGCAATTTGCTTCTTGGGAATTTTAGCTTTTAATGTTCCATCAGGAAAATGAGAATTTAGCATTATGAACATGCTTGAAAATTCTATGAACCAATCGAGAAAAGCTATGTCATCTTACATATTAGTCAAAAATACCCAACGGGCAGAAAGAATAATAGCTAACTGGAAATTTAGTGTTATCCCTACATTTAAAGTACAAACCATTACAATGTAATAAAATTAATCCAGACATTTCCAGGGCAAGTGTGGCTGACCTTTTGTTCACCAGCTACTGACCCCAGGGTGAATGAAAGAGGCTTGCAGAGAGAAATGTCTGTTGTTTGGCTTCAGTCCCTGGTATTTAAATTGCATTCCCTAATCAAATGAAAAGGCTGTCCTCTCTATCAGGTTACAGAATCCATGGCAACATTTGGCCTTTTATATACATAATGTTAGCCTTTTTGTTTGCATCTAAGTAGAGACACCTGGAGCAATGTTAACATTAACCGATTTAGCATTAATAGCTTCATTATATAAGAATTTCTGATCAGATAGCTGTTACTTTTGTTATATTGCTTCAGCTTGTATTGTTTTCATTTTTTATCTCCCTGCTTGGCAACCGGGCAATGATTTGCAAATTTTTTTTGTCTTGATTAATTAAGCAATATAATTATCAGGAACCGTGATGCAGTCTTTGCTCGACAAAGCTTCTGAGAGAAGACAATAGTAAGTCTGTTAGTGTGAATGCATTCCACGCGTCACAGATGCATGAGGATATTCTGAACAATGAGACGAAAAGCTGCCTGCAAAAGAGGACAAAGAATGCCAGGCAGACTCTACACACTGCACATACCGCCAGGGACATACTGTGGGTTCCCTGGGACACAGATGCCTCGTTAGATTGCAGCTAGTCATCAGAGATTAATTCTCAGCCATTTGGTACAATAATTTACCCATTCCCCACTCTTTTAACTAGTGCTGCTTGCTATAGAGGGGAAGTCTTTGTGCTCAAAAGGTTTATTTAACCTTGCCTACTTTTACTGCGTGCAACAGAAATAATTTTTCTTTTCTTGGAAATTGTAATGAAGCAGGTGTTTGCAATGGGCTGAATATTCATTTTTGTTTCATGGATAACTTGCATTGACATTTGGAGTACTCAAGGAAGGGGATATTTCCCTTAACTTTTTTTTTCTTAATTGATTCCTGTCAAAGCATAATATATTTTTTGTAACCATTCAAAACACTGTTTTCCTCAAATGGGTATTTAATACCAACTTACAGAAAAGTACTGAGCGGGGACCATCTCCCTATGCATTCAGTTGGTCTCCCCCCTCAAACTCCTCGTTAAGGCAGAGCCCCCTGTACAGATGGAAGCTGACGATATGCGAGTTCCATTGACTTTAATGACCCTCAGCATGGCCGGTAGATCTGCTTGGGAATTAATAATTCCAAGCTTTGTGTCCACGCGGGCGTATGGTCCGGTTGTGTGCTCCTCGTATCGCAGCGGGCTCTGCGGACCCCGAGCCTGCCGGGGAGCAGTGAGGCCTGCTGGCTCCGCTGCTGCTGTAAGGCAGGGCAGCGACGCCTTTGCAGGTCTCCAGAGGGTTAGCCCCGCACATCGAAAAGCTGTGAACCAATTTGGGCGAATACTGCTCTTGGTTCTGGTTTCACGTGGGTTACGCTTGCTTTTCTTTGGTAATGTAAAATCAGTTGCTCTCATACAAAGCCGCTTCTATCCTTTGCGTTACTTTCTTTTTCCATCTGCCAGTGTATGCCAACTTTGGGTCGTGAAAAATGTACTTTTTGACAAAACATGTGCCTAGGACACAGTTCTTGAAATAATCTGTTTGATTATTTGAAACATGGTTGAAAAAAGCATGTTTCCCAGTTTCATGAAAGTCACTCCAAAGAGTACCCACTGCACTCTTACCTCTACACTGTGGGGTCAGTTTGGGGATGCTAAGGAAAGCTCTCAGTTTTTAGGGTTCAGCTTGAATTAGCCTACTTCTCTGTTTAAAAGGAGTTTTAGAGTAAAGTATGATTTATTGGAGTTTGACTATTAAACTTTCAGAGAAAACAGTTATTTAACGTTTTGGCTTAAAATGTCAGACAGACTGGAGGTATTTTGATAAATTTTGAGAGTGCCCACTGAAAGATTTTTTTTTTAAATGTGAGCATATATACATATATATGTATGTATTTATATGCATACATATATAAGATGTATAAAATATACACACCTTGTCTATATTTTAAGTATATAAATACTGTAATACTGTGTTAAGAAAATCTACCACACTCGCTAGACTCCAGGTGGTTTTGAAACAGTGAAACAAAGTCCTGTAAGCAAAAATTGCTTGTCAAAAAGCCTGACAATGAATTCCCCTGTACAGTAGCATATGCAAGTGCTAATCTGACTTTAAATATCTGGTACTTGTATGTTGGTATAATTTTAATACTAGTATGTACTTAATCTCCTTATTTGTACTTAGATAAAAATATAGTTTACTTTTTTTCTCCTTTTGTCAATACTTGTGAACAGACTATGTGTTAAAAATTTCGCTTAGAAATGTTATTGCTTAAAGAGGAAAAACTTGATGCTCTAGAACGTTATCGCTTTGGTGGCATAGATTTGCTTCCTGTTACCTTTCTTTCCAACTGCCTAGATAGTAAAAAAAGGCAAAACCTCTATGGAAACATTTTACACTAATCTATTTTTTGGGGGGCGGGTAATTATTTTAAGCAAAGGAATTACAAAATAACTGTGTGAAGACAGCTGTCATTTGCAGGTGTTATATTAAAACCAAATTTCTTCTGTAATTCATTGCCACTTCTAATTAGAGGAATTCCCTAGATGCAGGGGATTTATATTATTCCCTTTGTCCGTTTATTGAATGACTGTCACAGTCACCCACAAGCAGTTGCAGAAGAATAATAAGAGGGTATTTATTTATGTGATAAGCCTCTATACAGATGGAAAAAAATCCATAGCTTAAATATTGATAATTGCTGCTAGCTTCTGCTTAGGGTTTTGGTTGGGTTTTTTGGGTTGTTTTTTTTTTTCTCCGTTTTCAGTTTGTGAAAGGGAAAGGAGTTTGACTACTTGTAAATACGAAAATTTATTATATATTTAAACATTAAAATTTTCTGGGTTTGACATGGCAAAGTCTGTTATGTATATGCAATTCCAGACATTTTTCACTTTTATAAAGTGTCTCTTTTACCCAGTATTGCCTTTATCTGAAAAGCCGTATGTCACCAAATGACATTATATGGTGGTTTCCTCTGACGGTAACCTTGAAGGAACAGCGTTTTAACACCTTGACATGCTATGCTGGGATAGACCTGTTTGTGCTTGTCCCAGCCGTGTTTAGGGGGAACTGCCTCTGAGAGGTGGTAGTTTTCTGTCATCTCTGCTTTCCACAGACCCTCATTATCTTGGATCAGCTCTTTTTTTTTTTTTTTTCCCCTTCAGTGAAGTCTGTGGAAGGAGTTTATAGAAGATTATCTGAAACAAATATTTCTTTGCAAACACTCCTGCCAATGTCGGATTCAGCCAGTGAATCAGGGTCTCCTGTTGGGATGCAAGGCAGAAAACAGCTCTTATATCTACTCAAAATGGAATATCGATTTCAAATTCATAGGCGAATTTTGTTCATATGCATAACAAGCTCATGTTTACTCAGTTGAATATTCTGTGAAATGTGCATATACATGTAAAGTATACTGATCGCAACTATGGAAGATTAAAAACTTAAAATAAAAAGTTGGGGGATTAATATCACACTGGAAGTTTCAGTGTGAAAACAATGTGGTCATACTGTTTTATGGCAAAATAAGGTACTGGTCTTCTATAGTGGGTCTGATGCTTATTATTCCAAATGTCAATAATATAATGCAAGATACAGTATGTTGTGCTAGCAAGGGTACCACCCGACTGACCGTGCTAACCTGGCTGATAATGGCCCTGCAGCTACAGCCCATGGGGGTGGTTTGTTTCTGTGTTCTTCTGCTGTACTTGGAGTCTCTGTGCCGTGATCTAGAGAGGAGACCTAGAGCAAGCTAATGCTTGTAATGTAACCGAATAACTTCACTGTCTAGGGCAGGGCAGTGTGAAACTTGCCTCCTCTTGCCTCCCTGGTGCCCTTCTCAAGCAGCAGATGCCTTGCTGTGAAAATCCCTTGGGAGTTGGGCATGTTGTTTCTATTTGTGATCTTTGGAAGTTGCTCCCATGCTCTACACTAACCTTTCAGCTTCCATTGGCTCGGCTTTACATGCATTGTTTTTATTTTGGGGTCCACAGGTGCCATTTTTCGGTCCTCTCTTTGATGGAGCAATCGTGACTGCAAAGCTCCTGCCAAGCCTCATATGTGCCACGTGCATCAATGCCAGCAGAGCCGTCAAGTCGCTCATCCCGCTCTACCAGAGCTTGTATCCTTTCTTCCTGCTGGGGCAAGGGTCCTCTTGGTAGGGTTCTTACTTCTGAATGTTCCTCTGTGGAGAGGTAAGCTTTAGTGAAAGTCCTTCCCATTTGATTTTATTGGAAAAGGCCAAAGGTTCCTTCATGTCAAGCTCAATGTTTTCAGTCGTTCACACCCAGTTGCCATCCAGTGTTTTAAAAATAAGATCATAACATCACAAGAGTGTTCTCACCAGCAGCTTCAGACAGTCTCTCTGGTGGTGGACTTGGACTTAACGCTGATGCTTTGAACTGTAAGTAATGAAAATACTCAATTTTCTTTCACACTAATAGAAGTTATCTACAGTGTATATTAGGCTAACACACAGAGCTCAGTTGTATTCTTACCTTATTCAAAGGAGTAGTCCAATTGACTTTACTCGGACTTATTACATTAATAAGACAGATGGGATTTGGCCTCAGATACAGATGTTTCAGTTCCCGAATTCCAGTTTTATTCCAGCCATGTCTGTATTTGGGCATTTTCAGAACATATTTTCTAACAGTTGCTGGAAGATAACTAGGTGGTATGCTTCTCTGTTACAGAAATTGTAGCATAGACTTTTATTGTGTGATATACAGACTAACAGCGTTATTACTGGTTTTCACTTATTCTAGGATTTTCTGATAATGCCATAACTATGCTAGAAGTGTTTTATAGCTTGTTTTGTTAACCATATCACTTATCTCAGGACCAGCACTCACTGCACTTCGTTTTCTTTGGGGAGCTTTTGATTTGAATATTTTTCGAACCATATGACTTTGAGAAAGAGTTTGTAAATGAAATGTTGTGATCTTTGAAAGAACATTGATTAATTAGTTTGAGACATATGTTTTTAAAAAACAAAATATCCTCAAAATACTGTTGTGTTTTTTTTTTTAAAGGCTAAATTTTATCTAGTATACTTTGCAAAAGTCATCAGAAATTAAAAGTAGCATTGTGGTTAAACAAATTTGTATTTTATTCACTTCATTGTGTACTCATTTTAAAACAAAGACAGTTAGTGGTTGTTGCGTAAGCAGCTGAATGCAATACATCAGCTGCAAAACCGTGGCAGTACTTAACAGATGATTCAAAACTTGCCAAGTTTTCCACTTTTGATGAGAGAAGTCTAGCTAATTACTGAAATTCTTCTATGCAGAATTTAGCTTAATCCATCTGCTTCTATAGTGAATGTATAATAATAAAATAGCGGTGTAGTAGAATTAATATAGGTAACAGCAGTTACAAGAATGAGGAGATCCTGTTGCCTCTTACTGCTATCCCAGCACCTCACTCCCGGTCGGAGTCCTCTGATTCCCGATCCTGCTCATCTTTTGGCTCTCAACATTTTGTGAGTGAATAGCGCTCAGCAGCCTGCTGTGCTCTCCTGCTCTCCGACAGGGTCTCTCTCTGGGTCCCTCCTTGTCCCCAGGGAAACATGAGCAGCACAAATATGATAGTGCATGCCACTTCTCGGCATATGTTTGAGGTCTCGCTGAAACAGCATCTGTCCCCAGATTCTTTTCTTCCTTTTTTGTGCCTGCTTTTGCACCAACGATATCTGTAGTGAATCAGCTGCCACTTATCTGTTTGATAAATGAAAGTGAATTGAGAAACTTCTGAAACTGGACAAAGATAATATGGCGGGAAGACCCCATCAGGATGACACTGGAGTGGGAGAGAAAGCTATCCACAGCTCTTACCATAGATAATGAAACACTTTTTTCTTATGGCAAAGGTCAACAATTATTACTCTCTATAAGCACAAAGATAATACTAAAATTTTTAGTGAGCCAGAAATTGGAATGTAAATGTATAGATGTGTAAAGGTGGTGTTTGAACCTGTCCAATGCAGTAACACTGCTTTGTGGCTCCCAAAGGGTGCACAAGCAGTGAATGACTTTGCTCTGGTGTTCACTTTGCTAACTGCTACGAGGAGAACAGGGGGAAAGCAGACCCAGCAATTTGAACAGTAAATGAGAGAGTTTAGTAACTTTGTCAGACTGGAGATGCAAATAACCCAAAGGTGAAATGGCTCAAAAAATTTCAGTAGAAGGGAGAAATAAAAAGCAATAATCCTGGAAAAGTAACCCATGATGTTTGGCAGCACATTAGACGTAACCTTGCAGTTCGGGTGAGTGCAGAAAAGCTTGTGTAAGGCAGAGCTGAGGAGTGGTCTGCCACTTCTGTTTGTCACACGGGTCATGTTAAAAGTCAGCATCCATAATAAGGATTAGTAGCTAAAAATTTTCTTGATTCCGGTGTGGTTAGAAATTGATTGAACACTTCCTCTGGCGTAAATGGTTCAACGGTGACAAGGCATTGAGTCCCTGATGCTTGTGTTGGAGCAGCGGCAGGGTGTGAAATACCTGCTGGGACCCTGCTCCAACCGGAGCAGAGCCCTGATCCTCGCTCCTGCCTTGCGAGGTGCGAGGGGAGTGAGCTGGTCGTGGTGCCCGCGGGAAGCACTGCCTGCGCGGGGTCGCGTGCTGGGGAGCTGGGGCAGCGTCTTGCCAGTAGTGACAGCTGAAGTCACTTGTTGGAAAGTCTGTAAACTCTGGTTACAGCTGCACTTGTCAGGGGCTTTAAGGGAAGTGTAATCAGCCACAGAGATTAATTTGCATCTCAATTAGGAAAGAGTCAGGAGGAAGCATAGGGTCTGTTGCTGGAAGGTTGTGGAAGAAATCTCATCAGGCACAAAAGGCTCCCAAGTCTCGGTGCTCCAGCGAGTGGAGGACAATATCCGAGTCCGGTTTCCATGGGGACCAGGACCGCAGAGCCGCGGGAGAATCTCACTGTGCGCTGTAATCGCTTGGTCATGATGACACAAATTCCACTGTTGTACCCAAATACATTTTTCTGTTGGAAATCTCTTTGAAAATGAGGAAGGTAACTATGGCAGACCACATCAGATTTTTTTTTTGTAAATCTATTTTTTATATTTATGTAACTGTTTCTGTTTTAAGGAACTCATTAGGGCGAGAGAAATAGTCGTTAAAAAATAATTAACTATATTTAAACTTTAGTTTAAAGCCATGCTGGCTACAAGTTCTTTGTATACATCAAATGGCATGCGATGGCATTACACAGGAGCAAAACCAGGGTAGTTAACGCATAGCTCAGTTGTCTTTTGAGTGGTTGAAGCTCAGTTGTCTCTGTAGCTGCTGCAATGTTTACATGGTCATGGATGATTATACATTAGTATATGTTCAAAATAACCGTTTTTTCAGGAGTGCATTCATTCTTGGTGCAATGAAGCATTGAGACTGAGCGGCTGCAGACCATACTGATTGGTGCTCTCACCATTCTTAAGTAACTGTTGAGTGTGAGGTAATGTGTTTCAGCAGCCTCACCAGTCTGCTTTTTCAGGCAATAATTTTTATTTTAAATATGCCTGTGTATTTTATGGAAATCATAAGCAATAAGGTGGCTTAAATTATATAAGAACAAGGAAGAATAATATTTAAAGTTACTAAAATTGTTGTATAAAAACGTGTATATTTATGCAAGTTTTTGAGAGCATTAAAGCCACCTTTTTATGTGCTGGGGAAAGGAAGGAACAACTAATCTCACAGACAAATAATTATGTATCAAAACTGAAGTTCCTCTTAATTAAGCCCAGTTAAAGCAGAGGTTGCTAATTGTCAGTATTTAAGAGTAACGCGAGTCTGTAAGCGGGGTGCCTTAGGAGATGAGAGCAGGGATGAAAAACAGTGCATTCGTAATTTGGTGCTTTGGTGCAGTGCTTTGGTAATTGTATTTGGGTTGAGCAGGGCCCCCTAAGCAAGGGCCTGTCCTGGCTCCAGTAATATTGAATATTTCAAAAATGGTAGGGGTGATGATATAAAACTGCATCTTTGTGCTCTCTTCCAGCTTATATTAAATTAATTGTATGCTGGAAAGGATTTTTGAACATTTGCATATTCTGGAGTCCCAGTTGCCCTAAGCTGCAGTAGTGCACATCTTTGGGAGCTGGTCTTATCTGTAAAGATAAATAGGGGGCGGGGCAAAACGGAGTTTGTATTTAAGTCTTTATTATGGGTCTGATTTACAGCTGCTGTTTAAGCTCACAGTTTTTAAGCTCAGGTGCTAGTAAACCTCCAAATATGAAAATGTAACTAAGTCTGCAGGTGTTTGACACTTTGGTCCATAATTTAACGTTGGTCTTCAAAAAGACTTTGGGATTTGGTGATAGTGATGTCTGAGCAGAAAACTCCCCTTAGAATGCCTAGGGCAATGCAATTTTGACTACCCAGAATCCAGATTGTCTTTCAAAATGGAGTAATTTCCTTGCTCCTTGAATTAAATTGTTCTTGTTTAGAGATTTGTTAGTTGGTCTCGGGTTTTACTTATGAAATTTCATAACCAGGATGCTTACTCTTTCCTGTCTCAGATGTTTCATAATAACAGTAGAGGTAAACATCCTGGATTCTTATATCTTTTATTGTCTTGTTTAAAAAAAAAACAAACAAAAAACAACCCAAACAAAAAGTGTAGTGCAAAATTATCTTTGCAATTAAGACAGCCGTTCTTTAAATTGCATTGGCTGAAAGATTGTACCAGACCTGGTTTGTTTTAGAAAAATGTGTAAGTGTGAGGTGGAGCAATGCTTTTTAAGCCTTTTCGCCTGCTTCTTAACTGGAAAGAAAAGCTTCTCAGAGGTTGAAAAATGGCCACAGTGATGAAGAGGAAACTTTGGTGAATTGCTGTCGTGATCTGTGAAGTGGCCCCATGTACCTGAATGTAAATGCCTGTATCTCTGTGTTTCCACTCTTCTACTAAAAAAAGCTTTTTAATTGGAAAATTATTTTGATGTTATTTGTAGTATCTTACCACTTTTTTTTGTCTCCACTATTGCAAATAACTATCATACTTCCAGTCCTACCTGGTCTCAAGAAAAGTAGGAGAGATTCTGACATGTCTGAAATGTTACCGTAGCTCCTTGTTACCAGCTTTTTGTAAGCAACCTACTGGAGGGTGTAAAATGTC